GTATCTTAAGCTTTCTTGGCTTCTGTGATTCCAAAAACGTCGACTGCTGACATTTTTCTTTTGACCAGTGTCTCTTAAGTTTAGTTGTACTGTCTCCAAGGGAAGTTGGCGTGTCCTGTAGAACTCCTGTGTAGATTATGTTTTCCTTTCTGGCCCGAGGGCCCGCCGGTTTTTCCTGGGTACCTGGAAGATGCCTGGAAGACGCATCCTTTTGCTGTTATCCGAGGTGACCTTGCCCAGTGACGCCTCCTGCCCTCCCTCAGTGAACATTTATTTTTGCCTTGTTCTTAATCTGATATCAAACATTTTCAACATTTCATAATTAAGTATAATGTGTGCTGTAGATTGTTTTAAGAAATTCTTTGTCAACTAAGAAGATGCTATGCTATCCCTTTTGTTGTAAATTCTGGTAGCCTAGTGAATAAGGAGTTGCTGCCAACTCAAAGGCAAGCAGTTCAAATCCACCAGTTGCTCCACAGGAGAAAGATGGAAGATCTCTCTCATTGAATTTACAGCCTCTGAAAATTAGCTGAAGGGTCAGCTATGAGTCAATTCTGATTTGATAGCACTTAACAACAACAAAAGCATTCTTTGTGTTCCAATAGTTCTTCTTCATGAGTTGGTACTGAATATTATCAAATATTTTTCTTCATCTTATGAAACCATATGATTTTTTTACTTCCTTTGTTCTATCGATATTATAAATTGAACTATGTTTATTAAGGTTTTTGATACTACAGTAACTTTAAATTTCTATTATAAATAGAATCTACCTCTCAGAGTGAAACACACAAACACATATGGGTTGATTTTACTTATATTGTTTGTACAATTTAACACTACCATTGGGTTAAGTCTAACTTTCCTTTTTTGCAATGTTTTTGTGTATATTATACAAAAATAATTACTAGCTTCTTTAAATAAATTGGCAATTAGTCTATTTTTTCAGTCTCAAAGAATTTTTACAAAATTCATGCTACATTTTATCAGTAAAGACATCTAGAAATTAATTTGTGTTTGTTGCTGTTGTTATAATTGGGTTTTCAGTAGGAGTGTTTTTTAACTATAAGTTCAAGTTCTTCATTATATATTAAGATTTTTTCCTCTTTATTGATTTTTCTAGTAACTTCTCCATTTAATCTGTTTTTTAATGTATTAGAATAATGTTGTTTAGTGTATCTTGAAATTTTACTCCTAAGATGTGTAGTAATAGTCCATTTTTAAGATTTTCCTATAAATTACTTTGCAATTTTTTTTCTTTAAAAAAAGGTTTACTGAAATAAAATGTACATGCCTTAGTTATCTATTTAAAGTCTATTATTCAGTAGCTTTCAATATATTTATTGATTTGTGCAACTACTACCATAATCCAATTGTAGAGCATTTTTATCATCTCTCCCCTAAACAGCCTTGCATCTGTTAGCTTCTTCCACCTCACTGTTAAGAACCCACATATACTAACCTTTATACACAGTGACCACTAATCTACTTTCTGTCCTTACTGATCTGCCTTTTTATATACATTTTGAATAATTTGGACTATATAATATGTCATCTCCCTTTGTGACTGACTCTTTTCCCTAGCATAATGTCTTCAATTTATTTTAAAAATCCCTATGAAATATTATTTTAATGATATTTCATTAACCTCAGTTAACTTTATTCCTTGAAAATTGGTCAGTTCATTTTCACAAAATAGCCTTAAGTTAAAAATAACTTCATTCTCTGGGTTATATTAAGTTTTTCCAGAAGAAGAAACTGTGTGTTGATTTATATTGATGTTTAAAACATGCTAATCTCCCTCTCTTACAATTGCTTATGTAGCTCTTTGTTTTATCTTTTTTTCCCTCCAGCATATGAGAATTCTTTTTTATCTGACATATGTGGGCCATTCTTTGTCACTTGTCACCTTAATTATTTCGCTGGGGATTTTTGTCTACTTTAAGTAAGTACACTTTTGATTTTCTTGTTTAAGATGTTAAAGTAAATGGTAAACTCTCCTGAGGTACTGTATATGTAAGGGTCTTCTTCAAATTGCTAGAGACATGCAACAATGGAAGTCATACAGTAGCAAGGAAAGAAAATGTGTTTAAATATGCTTTTTAGCCTTCTCTTTGGGAACAGAAGGGGTTAATAAAATTTGGGGGGGAATAGGCCTACCTCTCAAAATGAGACATTCCTATAAACCCTTCAGTATACTGTGGAACATGGATAAGATTTCACTGAGTAATTAGGAGAGAGTCCTCTTTCTGTATACTACATGGAAGTCACAGCAACAAGTTCAGATGACCCTAAGAACATTATGAGGTGTACCACCAGTGGAGTCAGCCAAAAGAGGAGTGAGGTATTGAAGGAAGCTATGTTGGGAGTTTGCCTCTTAATTATCCTGGAAGGTAAATCCTGAGCTTCTCTTCTGCCCTTAATTCACTCAACCATGGCAAAGAGGAATCTTCTAGAAGATGACCCATTTTCAAGTAGGAATCCTCACCTCTACGACACTGTTAACCACAAACTTCTAAAACACTGTGAGAAATACAATTCCAGTGAAGGTTTCCATTCTGAGGCTGTGTCTATACACTTGATTGCATTATCTATGGTAAGGTTATTAGCTTGATACTAATTTCACAATAAAAGAGAATTAAAATGTTGATTCTCCTTTTCAGCAATGCCTTATAATAATCTACCTGGGACAAGACCTTATGATTGTATTAAGACTTGTTTTAAATGTAGTTTCTTTATTCTAAATTAAATGAAAAGACAAACATTATCTTTTCATAAGAATCTTAACTTCTTTATTAGTATGAATAGTATTTCTGCTTATTTTTATCTACTTCCTCACCCTTATGATTGCCATTGTCTGTATTTTATTAGGATAATGATCTTGATTAGGAAAAAAATCTTGATACTTTCTTCTCCCTTATGTGAAGGGCTGAAGCGAAGTTTGAATGCCAGATTCAGCATGGAAACTTTTTCTATGTTTGCACATTTGCAGCTTATTCTATTCATGTTAAAGAACTTTATCAGAGATTTTTGTAGTCATTACATTAAATTAGTAAATAGTCAATTATTTCTAAAACCAATGAAATAACTTTTGGAAATGACCTTTAAGTAGGACTCCTCAGTTGAAATGCGATTTGAAGATTTCATAGCATACATAAGGAAGAATAAATAAAAACGTCAGAGCACAACTCTACAAAATCAAACACAAATGTTTATCCTTAGGTTTCTGTGACAATTATGCTAAAAAAAGAAAATGATGAGTAAATACACAAGAACAACTTGGATATTTTAAAAAATTTTGTTATTTTTGTTATCGTTGTTAGATTCATTGAAGTTGTTGAGTCAATTATGGCTCATATATTTGTAATTTAACTGAAACAACTTACTGTTACCTGAATAACAAAAATATAAACGATGAGCTCTTTCCAAATGTGGGGGGGTGGATGGGGGAAGGGTAAACAAAGCAAGAAGGTATGAAAGATTATTACTAAAATTAGAGTTTGAATTATTTTCCATTTTAATAATCAGAGTAAATACATAACATAGTTAATCTTGGAATGTTTGTTCATTTTCAGCTACGCTTCACCACAGAGCATAAGCGTATCATTGCAACTGTCATAAAATTTTTATTAAAATGTCTGTCACTAAAAGTCTATTCTTTGAAGTTTTATAACTACAAGAAAAGGAAATGAAACAGCTTGACATTTTATTGCTATGTCATTAATAAATTTATCCAGGATTTTTAAGGTAAAAATTGTCAGTGGACATTCTTTAGTTCTCTATTTCTCCAGGCACTTAAGTGCTAAGGTGTAAATCTTAAATCAGAAAAGAAAAGAAAAATGTTCTTTCAACAATTCTGTCATAAAATTTGAGCTTTGAATTTAAAAGTGCTGCATGTGTGCAGGTCATATAATACTCAAGTTCATTGGTCCCTGTGCTAAATAATCTAGCAAAACCCTTGCAAGAATATGGGGATAGATTCTATAGATAACACTCAATTTTTTTCCTGCTATTTTTGTTGTGTGCCATCAAGTCAGAACTAAACCTTAATTCACCCTCCAGGGATTTTTCAGAAGTTCTAAATTTCCCATCCTTCTCCTGTGGAGCAAATAGTGGATTTGAACTCATGCCTTTGTGATTGCAGTGTAGCTTCTTACTACTAGGACAGTAGAATTCCAATCTTACTCACAAGGCCATTGAATTAAGACACTGCTAAAAAGAACTACTCCATAACCTGGGATGCCACCAGAACACCCTACTGACAAAGTAATGTGTGTGTGTGTGTGTGTGTGTGTGTGTGTGCGCGCGCGCGTGCGCGTGTGTGTGCATGTGTGTGAGAGAGCGCTCTTCTCTAAATATCATCTTTATGATATAGTGCTCTCATGGAGGAGTTTTGCATTCTATCTGTGCTCAGCAAGTGGAGGGTTTTAACATATTACTTATTACTAACACATTCTCTGAACAATTGAAAAATGAAGCAAGAATTACCAACATATATATTCTAACAGATTCTCTCATTAAAGTTACCTTTTTCTATAGATATAAATAGGCACCTTTTCTTTGTAAAAGTATAGGTAGACATGGGGGGAAATTGCAAAAGCAGTGTATTTCCTCTTTCCAGATGTCCTCTTTGGAAATTCTTAGGATTTTTACTTTCTCTTGATAACTTTTTCATTTTTTTTAAATGAAAAGTTGTTCTAAGAAATCATCATTATTCACTTCATTTTTTAAGCTTTCAGCTAGTAAATTATATTGTACTAAACAATCTTGATCAAATGTGGTAAATACAAGATTCTTAAAACTCTAAGAAAATCCATTTTGCCACAATTGTGTGGCAGCATATCTCTAGTTCCATCAAAAATGAACTAGGATAGTCTAATTAATGTTCAGGTATGTGAAGTCAAACAAATACATACATATATGCACACACTCACAAACACACATTTACGAAGTGAAGGAGAAAGTGATGAAACATTCCAATACATTGCATAGTATCCAAAAGATTGGACTGGAAATGGCAAAGCCAAGGAGCAGAAACACACTAATAGGTCTTCTGGATCCAGAGCACATCCATGCCTCACAAGTGGATCAAATTTGAGCCTACTTAGAATTCTCTGCTTGTATCCGAGCTCCACCATCAGGAGATTGTAGAGAAAGGAACTTCAAATTGCTGTTTTTGCAATGTGAGATGCAAAAAGTCATCAGACAGATGGGAAAGGGAAAAATGACAGGAGACTTGGGAAATGTGTATGTAAGGGTCTAGGACATGGATTCAATTTTTTTTTTCACAGGCAGCCCTGGTAGTGTTCTAGCTTCCTGTATTAACAGGCAATTTCTTCAATACATCAATGAACAGTAGACTTTTTATTTGAAGCATGTTCCGGAGTATAATGTCTTCTCTTATAATAATTCTCTTTTTTTTTATTTTCATTCAATATTTCATATATGTTATGCACTATAACATCAATTACAATCGATCAATGCTTTTTAACATGTCCTAATGTATGGTCACCCTTTTACCCTACCAGGAACCTTAAATGCCAGAGAGTGACCTTGCACAAGAATTTGTTTATTACCTACATTATGAATTCTTCTCTGGTTCTGATCCAGCTTTCTAAAATAGCAAGTGATAAAGATCTGGTGCAAAGGGATCCGGTGAGCATTGCATGGCTTTGTTTCTAATGTTATTTAGAAAAGTAAAAGTAACTCAGTGTCTGTAAATTGTGAACATGATGTTACAGTTTGGCCTGTCAATATGTGTAATCCTAACTTATTTCTACCTGTTGTTAATATGTATAAATCCTATTTACTTCTACAGCGGAGTTTTGTACGAAGTAATGTATACTTTCTATGTAGTCTTTGAAAGCATTACATGATGTAAGATTAGGAGATCTGGTGGCTTAGTGGGTAAGGAATTACACTGCCAACCCATAGAAACATGGGTCCATATCCACCAGCTGCTCATTGGGAGAAAGACGGTCGATCTCCATCTGTGCAATTTTAGCTTCTGAAAATCCACTGGAGAGTCAGTTATTAGATTCTGACCTGACAGCACATGACAATATTCTATTAGGAATGAAAGAATGACTGAATCATCACCAAATCAAAATCACACCACAAATACAGTTATTTCTTTAACTAATGAGTAATTTAAAGGAGACCCCAGTGACTAGGGTAATGGGAGTAAGACTGTTGAAAGACAGTAAGATTGGCTCAGGATAGTACCAGGTTCACAGTTATTGTACATGGTGTTGCTGTGAATCACAGTTGACTCGATGGCACATAACAACAACTGGTGACTTAGTAGGAAGGAGCTGCATTGCCAACCTGAAGGCAAGTGGTTCAAATCTACCAGCTTCTCCATGAGAGAAAATTGGACAGTCTCCTCTAGTGCAATTAACTACTTCTGAAAATCTGCTGGAAGAGTCAGTCATCAAGCACTTAAAATTTGACAGCACATAAGAATGTGGCATATTGATCTTTGTCTATTGTGGGTATAGAAATCATTCCTGGTAGGCTAAAGGTTAAAGCCTTTTAAATCTACTAACCAAAAGGTTGACAGTTTGAAACCTCAAGGGACAAAGAGGAAGTGGTCTGTTTCCATATCAATTAATGTTGTTGTAGTTGTTGTTGTTGTTGTTATGTGCCTTCAAGTCGCTTGGGACTCATAGCAACCCTAT